AAAAAAAAAAAAAAAAAAGAGTAAGGAGTCTCACTTCTGGGGGCCCCCTTCCTCCCACAGTGATCTCCCTACCCAGCATGTACGAGGGGCTCGTGCGTGGCCTGTGTGGAAACTACGACAATAACCGCAAGAATGACATGATGCTGCCCAGTGGCGCCCTGACCCGGAACCTCAACACCTTTGGCGACAGCTGGGAGGTGAAGACCGAGGACGTCCTCCTCCGCTTCCCCAGGTGCGTGGCCTGGAAGGGATGAAGCTGGGGAGGTGAACAACAGTGTCTGTGCACGGTGGCCGCTAGCCCTCCTGTCCTCAGCAGAGGATGAAACTCCAAGGAGAGGGTGCAGAGAGGCCTGGATCCTCCCAATTCCGTCATTCCCTCTCACCTGACTCTGGGGGTACCTGCTCAATGGAAATCCCGCTCTGTGCCCCCGCTCTGCGCTCAGCCTGCCTTCCCAGTTCTTCTTCTTCCTTCTTTTTTCCTTCTTCCTTCTTTCTCCTCCTCCTCCTCCTCTTCCTCCTCCTTCTTTTTCTCTTCCTCCTCCTCCTCCTTTTCCTTCTTCTTCTTCCTCTGTCACCCAGGCTGGAGTGCAGTGGCGTGATCTCAGCTCACTGCAACCTCTGCCTCCCAATTTCAAGCGATTCTCGTGCCTTAGTCTCCCGAGTAGCTGGGACTACAGGCATACACCACCACTCTTGGCTAATGTTCATATTTTTAGTAGAGATGGGGTTTCACCATGTTGACCATACTGGTCTTGAACTCCTGACCTCAAGGGATCCGCCCACTTTGGCCTCCCAAAGTGCTGGGATTACAGGTGTGAGCCACCACACCCAGCCCCATTTCTTATTTCTTTTTTTAAAATATATTTTTTAGAGATGGGGTCTTGCTCTGTTACCCAGGTTGGAGTGCAGGGGCGTGATCTTGGCTCACTGCAGCCTCCACCTCCTGGGCTCAAGTATCCTCCTGCCTCATCTCCCGAGTAGCTGGGACTCCAGGCAGGCACCACCACACCCGGCTAATCAGTTGTTCTTCTTCTTTCCCCACTTCACCTTCCTCGGGGCCTCAACTGACCCCGTGGCTGTCTCTGCCGCAGGGCTATACCAGTGGAGGAAAGACGAGGGGTGGAACTGGGCCTCCGCGTGTCCGAATGTAGCCCGGAGCAGTTGGCGAGCAACAGCACCCAGGCCTGTAGGGTGCTGGCAGACCCCCAGGGCCCATTTGCTGCCTGTCACCAGACAGTGGCCGCAGAGCCCTTCCAGGAGTGAGTCATGGGCCCAGGACTTGCGGGAATGGCCCAGGTGCCTGCTCTGGTCTTTCCCTGGGGCCTCGTGCCCACTTCCTGACCCAAGCTCTGTGTGGTTCACTCCTCCGTTCTCCCTGTGGCCTCATTTCCTTGTGACCCTCCCTGGACACCGACTGATGTCTTTCTATTTGGGGTTCCACGCTCTCTTCTGCAGGGGTGGGTCTCCTCCCCTCCCCAAACTCTGACTGCACCCTTCCTGCCCCCTCTCCGCCCCAGGCACTGCGTGCTGGATCTGTGCTCCACTCAGGACCCAAGAGAGCAAGAGGAGCTGCGCTGCCAGGTCCTCAGTGGGTACGCCATCCTCTGCCAGGAGGCGGGCGCTGTCCTGGCTGGCTGGCGGGACCGCACCCTCTGCGGTGAGGCACTGCCCCTCCCCGTGCCGACCCTGACCCCTCTGCCATCCACCTCTGCTGAACACTTTTCCCACCACTGCCTCATCTCGGACTTTCTGTCTTAGTCTCAGCATCCCTTGAATTTCTGTCTCAGTCCCAGGTCCAAGTCAGCACAACCAGCAGCTTGCCTCCTTCTCTGCCCCTACCTGGGAGCCTCCCAACCCCATCCCACATCCCATTCCTTCCTGCCAAGGTCCACCTCTGCTCAACCAGTTCCTTCAAACGCTCTAATGTTGCAGACAAAAAGACCCTGGATGGGCTGGGCGTGGTGGCCCACACCTGTAATCCCAGTGCTTTGGGAGGCCGAGGCTGGAGGATGGCTTGAGCCCAGGAGTCCCAGGCTGCAGTGAACCATGACTGCACCACTGCACCCCAGCCTGGGCAACAGAGCAACATCCTATTTAAAAAAACAGAAAAGAAAAGAAAAGAAAGAAAGAAAAAGAAAAAAGAAAGAAAGAAAAAGAAAAGACTAGACAGGCTGGGCGTGGTAGCTCACACCTGTAGCTTCACCACTTTGGGAGGCTGAGGCGGGAGGATCAATTGAAGCCAAGAGTTTGAGACCAGTTTGGGCAACACAGTGAGACCCCATCTCTATAAAAATTTTAAACAAATTAGCCAGGTGTAGTGGTGCATGACTATAGCTCCAGTCACCAGGGAGACTGAGGTGGGAGGATCACGGGAACCCAGGAGTTGGAGGCTGCAGTGAGCTGTGATAACGCCAGCCTGGGCACTCCAGCCTGGGCGACAGAGTGAGACTCCATCTCAAAAAAAAAAAAGAAAAAGAAAAAAAGACCCTAGATGAAGCTGTGATGCGTTCTGGCTTCCTGCCTATAAGCAACTCTGAGTGTTTTTGTTGTTGTTGTGGTTGTTTGAGACGGAGTTTTGCTCTTTGTCGCCCAGGCTGGAGTGCAATGGTGCGATCTTGGCTCACTGCAACCTCCGCCTCCTGGGTTCAAGTGATTCTCCTGTCTCAGCCTCCCGAGTAGCTGGGATTTCAGGTGCCCGCCACCATGCCCGGCTCATTTTTGTATTTTTAGGAGAGATGGGATTTCACCATGTTGGCCAGGCTGGTCTTGAACTCCTGACCTCACGTGATCCACCTGCCTCATCCTCCCAAAGTGTTGGGATTACAGGTGTGAGCCGCTGCGTCCAGCCTACTCTGAGTTTTATTGGGTGACCTTGCCCCTGTTTGGCCTGCCCAGCCCCAGCCAACTCTGACCATGATTGTCCCCGCAGCCATGGAGTGTCCAGCAGGTACTATGTATCAGAGCTGTATGACACCCTGCCCAGCGTCCTGTGCCAACCTGGCGGACCCCGGGGACTGCGAAGGCCCCTGCGTGGAAGGCTGTGCCAGCATCCCAGGCTATGCCTACAGCGGCACCCAGAGCCTCCCGCTGGCTGACTGTGGCTGCACCAGCAATGGCATCTACTACCAGGTCCGGGCTGGCAGCGGGAGGGCCCGGGGAACAGAGGTGCCAAGGAGAGCCAGACCAGGGATGGAACCGGAACGTCTCCTCCTGACCCCTCCCCTTTCTAGCTGGGCAGCAGCTTTGTGACTGAGGACTGCTCTCAGCGCTGCACCTGTGCCAGCTCACGGATCCTGCTGTGCGAGCCATTCAGCTGCAGAGAGGGGGAGGTCTGCACCCTGGGGAACCACACCCGAGGCTGCTTTCCAGGTGAACCTGCACCCCTGCCCGGTTCCAAGCTGCCCCATGCCCTGGGGCATCCATGGACCAAGGATCATCCCCTTGTTGTCCTGGGGACTCTTCCACATTGATTTCAGGACGTCTGTCCCTGCCTTTGTAGGGAGAGACAAAGGACAAAGATCTCCCCTTCCCTAAGCATCCACGACCTGCCCAATCCTTCCCTAGCATTCCTTCCCATTATCTCCTTCAGCCCTGGTGGTTAGCACAGCACTTCTAATTTATACATAACAAACATGGAGTTCAGAGAGGTTAAGCAGTTTCCTGCCTGTAATCCCAGCATTTTCCGAGGTGAAGTGGGAGAATTGCTTTGAGCTCAGGAGTTCAAGATCAGCCTGGGCAATACGGGGAGACATCGTCTCTACTAAGCATTAAAGAAAAAAAGAGCTGGGTGTGGTGGTGCACTCCTGTAGTCTCAGCTACTTGGAAAGCTGAGGTGGGAAGATCACTTGAGCCTAAGAAATTGAGGCTACAGTGAGCTATAATTGTGCCACTGCACTCCAGCCTGGGTGACAGAGTGAGATCCTGTCTCAAAAAAGAAAAGAGAAGGGAGGAGGGGAGGGAAGGGGAGAGGAGGGAAGGAAGGGAGGGAAAGGAGGGGAGAGGAGGGGAGAAGAGACAGAGGGAGGGAGGGAGGAAGAGAGGAAGAAAGGAAAGAAGAGATGAAAGAGTTTCGAAGGGCCGGTGCACGGTGGCTCACGCTTGTAATCCCAGCACTTTGGGAGGCCAAGGCAGGCGGATCACAAGGTCAGGAGATTGAGACCATCCTGGCTAACACGGTGAAACCCCATCTCTACTAAAAAAATACAAAAATTAGCCAGGTGTGGTGGTGGGCGCCTGTAGTCCCAGCTACTTGGGAGGCTGAGGCAGGAGAATGGTGTGAACCTGGGAGGTGGAGCTTGCAGTGAGCCGAGATCGCGCCACTGCACTCCAGCCTGGGCGACAGTGCAAGACTCCGTCTCAAAAAAAAAAAAAAAAAAAAAAGAGTTTCGAAGGAAGGAAGTTTCCCCAAAGCCCAGGGCTAGTGAGGCAGGGTTGGGAGCCAGGCTGGCTGACCCCTGGCCAGTCTCTGGCAGCCGCTTCTTTCTGCCCTGGCGTCCCAGCCTCCAGCCAGCCCTCCCCTGAGCAGGGAATGTCCTCCCAGGGCCCCCCTCCCACAACCCTGTCTGTCCTTGCAGAAAGCCCGTGTCTGCGGAACCCCTGTCAGAATGACGGGCAGTGTCAGGAGCGGGGAGCCACCTTCACCTGCGACTGTGAAGTTGGTTATGGGGGAGACCTCTGTATGGAGCCTCGAGATGTGCCACCTCCCAGAAAGCCAGGTGAGGGCATCATCCAAGGCCCTGTACCCTCACAGCCTCTTCCCGGCCGACAACCACAGAATGATTCTATATGTATTATATTCACATATAGAATGATATGCATTATAATATGTTATAGATATATATTATAAACAATATCGATTTGCATATATAATTGATATTAATATATTAATATATGTTGTATGTTAATTATATATTTATATATTGCATATATTACAGTAGGAATTGTATTATAATATAATCCCTAGAAATTAGCCGGACAAGCATCCTCAAAAAACCAGTCCTGGCCGGGCGCGGTGGGTCACACCTGTAATCCCAGCACTTTGGGAGGCCGAGGTGGGCGGATCACAAGGTCAGGAGATCGAGACCATTCTGGCTAACACGGTGAAACCCTGTCTCTACTAAAAATTCAAAAAGTTAGCCAGACGTGGTGGTGTGTGCCTGTAGTCCCAGCTACTCAGGAGGCTAAGGCAGGAGAATCACTTGAACCCGGGAGGTGGAGGTTGCAGTGAGCC